CGAGAGAATACAGTTCTGTTACACAGGGCATGTGGGAGAGGAGAGGTGATGGCCATAGCATGGATGGAGTGGAAGAGATGGGAACAGGTAGGATGATGACCACAAATTCACAAACTAGGCAAACCTTGTTATTGAAACCAAATGTATTGAACTTCACAGGCCTTGCTTCTCATCATCCCCTGTCCTGGCGCTTGCAAAGCAATGCCCACGGCAAGCAGAGCCACTGCCAGGGTTCCAGTCCCCAGCCCTGGCCAGGTTTGTTCAAGCACACGTCGAGTTTGTCATCAGGCTTCGTGCAGGTTCGGCCTTTGTCGCAGCTAATGGCTGGGAATGGCTGTGTTGCTACCAAGTAATGGAAGAGGGGTCAGGGGGCAGAAATGCTCAGAAAGATAGAAATGAAGCAGGAATTTCGATTCAGAGCTAATGGATGGGGTTTGGAGGCTTCTATTAGCAGAAATTATCACGGTATTAATGTATTTCAGGCAGCATTTTTTACAGTTGAATACAGTGTTATTTTCTGAGTTATCCATTCCCTGACAAGTGGTTATAATCAAAACTGTCTGTGAGCACTATTATCAGAAACTTACTATTATGTGCTGTAGGGAAAAATATCAGGGAATGATGCAGTGCCAGAAAGCTATTATATGTTTTTAAGACCTACTGCAACACCAAGTATTTATTTATGTATTACTTCTACTTCCTGTAGAAGAAAATAATTTGAACTTAATTTTCTTGTCTTACCCAACTGCTTTGGAAAATGTACCTCCTGAAGTCAGTCCATAATTATGATTAACAATGCGGGCTGGATCCTCAGTTACTGTAAATTAGCGTTCCCTCCTTCATTGAGATGGAGCAATGCCAATTCATTGCAACAGAGAAAGCTTCCAGTTACTTTAGTACGTCACTTTTCATCTTTAAGGGTATCAACAAACCTTCTTTAATACAGTATTGTACAGAACTTACTCTGTTTGGCCAGAACAAACTTTAAAGAGGACTAAATCTAGCATCATGTTTCTAAAAGTCTTTAAAATTCTCTTGTACGCAAAATTAATCCTTTCAATATATTCTGTTGTTTAATTAAATCAACAAAACTGCAATTGCTCTGTCATGTGGTCTGGCTTTGTAGGCCACCTTTATTTTCTTCTTAAATTTCAGGGTAGCCATACACTTAAAACTATTACTGTAATTCTAGCCTGGCTCTTACTGCTTTTTGTGGAGGAAGGAACTTCAATGAGACAACATAGAAAGGAAGTAATTACCTAAAAATGTTTATATCTGTATAGCTGACTATGAAATATAAAGAAAAAAATCATAAATCATAGGGATTCTGAGGTTAAGGGTATGAGTAAGCAATAACAAATTTGGCACTTTTTGATTAATGAGTCCTCCAGAAGGCTAAAGATTAATCAGATTATTTTGAGTAACACAGTAAAAAACATATATTTTTAAAAGCCTTCTTTTGTGCTGCTCTGCCATGTTCTCTATCCAGTTGGCACAATGAAAATGACAGTCCCAGGCTAAGACTATTGTACAAAACTTCAGAAGTCCTGAGGATACACTGATGGGCAGTTCACATCTGAAAATGGATAGAATCCCTGCAACTTGTTCCTTCCCAAATCTTCCTTTCTCAGCATCCCTCTTTTTCATCTTGTGCCTGGAATTGAACAAACCAAATCCAAAGAGGTTTTTGGAACATTCCTAAATCAGGGATACTGTGAAGACAAATGGTAAATGTCTGTTACCCCAGCTGCTAAGTTAATTACTGTAATGGGAAACATCTTGAGAGAAGCATTGCATATGGTTATTAGCAATTAACCCACCACTCCAAAAATCACAATTCCTGCTAATAACAGAACACGGCGCAGCCTTTCTAATTACAATCTCTGCACGAGAATTTCTTTCCATCAGAAGGGAATGTTAAATCCTCTAACTAGCTACGATTTAAAAAGACTTGGAGATATGGAGAATTAGACAGAAAAATGAAAATGGGGACGGGTGGTGTGTCACTGACTCAGAGTTGTAGACATGCTCATTCATATGTGGAGACACACAGCAACTTTCACAACATGTTGTGGGAAGACAAAATCATCAATGACTGTTCATGGGGAGGGAAATATGCTTTAAAATGAAGAGGATAGCATGAGACTTCGTGAGAGATGCCAACTTTTCTACAGAATTTGTGATCTCAGTGGTGCTGTAAACAATATGCTGAGTTTGATAGTGCATAGGAAAGGATCGCACTGGAAACGGTAAGAACTTTCTGATCAATGAAAGAGGAGAACAATGCAAACTACGTATTTTCCATCCTACAGAAAGTCCGTCAGTACTACATGGAGGGCATGAGGTGTGCCTTTTCTGACAGTCAGTATTCTGTGCAATTGGCTTAGATTATAGCTCACCTGCACAAAGTCACCAAGGGGAATCGACACTTTAGCTGCTCAGTTCAAAGGCTGGTTTAGCAGAGCAAGATGGGATTTAATTTATTCCTTTCACCAGGCAGGAAGAGAACTCTTTTGTCAACATGTTCAGTGCTCAGTTTGGTGATGGGCACGATACAGTTTGTAGGTATCAAGATCAAAGATACACAATTGTATGGCGAATAAGTTTCATGACAGTAACCGTGTCTGGTTGGTCACGGCAGGGACGTGTAATATAAAGGAGTCACTAATGCTGTATCCACTACCATTTTTTTCCTGACATTTCCCGCTGCTACCACTGTAAGAACTAGAATAAATGAGTCTGCTTTTACCTCTGTATTGTCTGTGTCAGGTCTGAAGATTTAACTGACTTGGGCACAGTCAGATCAATTATTCCAGTAGGCTTTTGAAACTGCTTTCACAAATGCTGGTTCCCTGCAACTCTTACTCATGTGAATCGTCCCATTAAAGTCAACAGCCTTGCAGGATGTTCTCAATTAAAACACAGCTGAGGATAAAACATTATATAATATTTGAAGAAGGGCACATTGAACAAACTGGGTTTACATTTCAGTTCAGGAGAATGTCAGTGCCATAGCTCCTAACGCGTGGCCTGCAAGGCTTTCTATGCAGATTACAAGGAGATGTTAAACTGCTCGATCCTCAGGATCCAACTGCGGCTGTATTTCGCTACGTGCCCCCCAGGCAAAGGTTTCATCCATTAAGTGGCCTTCACCGTGTAAGATGCTGGGAACTCTGCACTTCAGCATCTCCCAATTTGCATGCTGCTGTTCCATTATTCTTAATGACTGGGTGTAGTAAATATTGTGCATAATTTGTAATGATCTCATGCAGATCTGAAATATTAAAGCATTTTCAATGGTTTTTTGTTGAGTTCCATAAGATGGAAAAAAAAAAAAGTATTTTTGAAAGACTAACTTAGCTCTCCTGGAAAAAAAAATAGCTGGGCAATAAGATCCTTCTCTATTTTGCAATGATGTGATCCTGAAAGTAGTCCAGGTTGGGATGACAACTCAGGGCGTAATTAACACTCAGCCTTGACTTAATGAAAGTCTATTATTTTATGAAGAAAGATTTTCTGGGGTTTAAGAAATAAAATGATTAGAAAACTATGTGCTCTGCAGGAGGTAATGAGATTAGCTCAACACAGGGTCCTGCAGAGTTAAAACTACTCCAGATGCAAGAAGAGCTTAGCCATTCAATGGAAATTTCAGGGTACAATTAATCTGCTCTAGGGTCAGATAAGGGCTATATGTTTTCTTTACCATGAAAAAGAAATCGGTAATACAATCTCAGGGAGATCGTGCCACTGCAAGCTTCAAAGCAATGAACAATATAAGAACAGTTTTCTTGTTATGACTGGTAAATGTTTACCTACTTTAGGAAAGGCCTTAGAAAATAAAAACCATACAGGGAACTGTGCTTATAAAGTATGCATAAAGTAGAAACTGCTGGATCTTGTTACAGGACTGAAAGGAAGACAAATTAATGCACTGTGAAACCGAGGTTGACCCCTACCCCGTGAGGACTTCAGAGTACCCATGCGGTTCTCTCTGTCACAAATCCTTCTAGGAGCTAATTTGGAGCAACCCGAGACCAAGCCCCTTCCGCTGGGGTGGAAGGAAATCTCCATCCCTTCAGCATCAGCTGGCTCGGGGCCCACCCGTGCACTCACAGCCCAACGCTCAGTTAGTCATGGCCCTGCAGGGAGATGCAAACCGTGGTGCAATGGACCCTGACTTCTACCTGAGGTCATAAAGTGCTGAAGGTGTGTTTTCTCCCATCTTTTATTTGCTGCTGTGCACAGTTCCCTTTCCAGGTCAGTTGGTGTCCCTCCTCACCCTGGCGAAGGGAAGAGTTGCCTCCTGACAGCAGGGAAGGTCTGGAGGGACCGTGAGGGCGAGAGGACGGGTTGTCTGTAGGGTGTTAGGCAGCTCTGGGGTTTAAGGAATTGCTCCCACAGCCCTGCCATCACTAACCCAGGGCAGTAGCGCTGGTATCCCTCCCGCACCATGTTAACTGCATTTATTTTTGCTGTTTCCCCTTTGAAGTGCCCAGATGCGATTGCAATGGGCGTCACGCACGCAGAACAAAGGAGGACCTGAGGAAAAAAAGGAGAAGCCAAGACGTGGCTCTCCCAGCAAGACCCAAACGCCTTGGCGTCCCGGAGCGGGGTGGTCAGCCGTCCTCCAAGAGCCTGTAACCTCCCCAAAACCACAACTGCACATAACTCCAGCTTCACCCCCGAGCACAACCCCCTCCTCATCTCCCCCAGCACCAGTGGGGGCGAGGGGGGAAAAGCCCCTTGGAGGGGGACTGGGGGGCAAAGCAGAGCGACCCCAAAGGTGAGGCGGGGCTGGGGGAGCGGGGCCGGGAGCCCCCAAGCCCTGGGGGACCCGAGAGGGGCCCCGAGGCCCCCCCCAGCCGCCGAGGGGGCTCCGAGGCCCCCGGCCCCCCACAGCCTCCGAGGGGGCCCCGCCAGGGGCGGGCTGGGGGCCGGGCCGGGGCCGCCCAGCCAGTGGCGTGCTCGGCAGCCGCTTTAAATGATTTGGAGGGCTGGGGGCGGCTGCTGAGGGTGCTGCCGAGCCGTGCTCTGCCTCCTTCCATCCTCCCCTTCCCTCCCTCCCTCAGCCATGGGAGCGGGGCCGGCCTCCCTCTGCCTCTCCCTCAGCCTCTGCTGGGCGCTGGCCCCCCGGGCGCGGGGAGCGGAGGAGCCGCGGCTGCAGCGGGGCATGTGAGTGGGGTCTGGGCTGCGGGGACGGGCTGTGGGGTCCTCGGTGGGGCTCCTTTGTCTCCGGTGGCGCCGTCCTGACGGTCCCCGTCCCCCCCCTCTCTGCTGCCAGCATCCCGGGGCTGGCCGCGGCTCGCAAAGTTTGCCCGGGGGTGCCCCGCATCGCCCCTAGGTGCGGGTTTTGGGGTCGGGGAGTTGTGTAGGGGGGTTATTGTGGGGTCTTCAGCCCCGGAGGGGAGGTGGGAGTGCTGCCTGGACTTTGATCTGGGCTCTGAAATGGGCTCCGGGGGGGTAATCAGCATCCCCGGGGCTGGTTCTGCCTTCCCGTGTTGGGGAGGCTGCTGGCGGAGCTGCTGCTCCGCGCCCCCGAGCTCTACCTGCGGGGAAAAACAGCAGAAACAGCGGGGAAACGAGGTGTGGGATCAGCCAGGAGCGATATAGGGCAGGGACCACGAGCAGACGGAGGTGAGCGCAGCAGAAAGCATCCGGCTGCGGCTGCCGGCACAAAGGAGCTGGACCCGCACCGGTGCCTGGCGGGCGGGGAACTTTCTGGGGGTGTTCTCACAATAAACGTCTTTTGTTGCAAGTATAAGGTAATGTTTTTTATCAACACGGCTTTTTCTGGTCAAATTCTGACCAGGAGTAGCTGAAAACGTGCACAAAAGCTTAGTCGAAGTTTTTTGCTCATTGGAACTGAACATGTAATTTCTGGAAACTGTTGCATGCTGTGCCTTGGGCGCTTCTTTCTCTGCAGAGCTCCTGGTTATTGTTAAGAAATAGCACATGAAACACCACCACCACCCAAAGAAGGCAATCTAACAACAGACTTCGGAGATATATGTGCACCTCAATTCCGAACCTCTTTGTTCATCCTTTTTTTGGGTCTTAATTCAACTTCATCCTACTCTTCTAGAATTCACGTGCTTACCATTTGGTTCATGGTTAGTTATTTCTTCTGTCCCAAAAGCAAATCTGTCTCACCTTGGTTTCCTATGAAATACCATGCAAATCCTCAAAACCCACCTTAAATGCATTTCTAGTAAATATTACTCCATTTTGCTAGGTGGGTATTGCTCTAGCATCACGCTGCTTGCAGAAGTCAAGTTCACTTTCTGCTAAAGCATTTGTCTTTTAAAGTGTTTTGTCTTTCTTTCAGGCTTGCTTCTTTTGCTTTTCTAGAAGCAATTACTGTACTATGAGGAAACATACCACTGACCTACATTAATCTGTTCGCGTTTAATGTATCAGTAATAACTGTGATCCAGCACTTCTGAAGCTGGAGGTGATGTTAGTTGTGAATTGCCTCCGTGCAATTTTTGCTTGCTTTTACCTTTTTAAGGTGGGTGTCATGGAAAGAAAACCAGAAACATTCCCTTCTGGAAATGGCACCACTTGTGATTGGGACACAATGGCAGCATTCACTGGGGGCAGCAGGGCTCTGTCAGCCAGCTGCAGGCTTGGGGGGGGGGACTACGATAACAGGGACAAAACCCACCCCCACCACTTCCAATACCCATGGCAAGCCTTGGGTGCTTTTCCCACATGGAATATTCCTGAAACTACTATAACTTGCATTGCTTTTGTTGAGCTAGGGCACGTACAACTGTTCTTCCCCTCTCCTTTTACCCTGTTCAGTGTCTTTGGTGCGAGCAGAAGCCCAAGAAGGCAACATCCCATAGGAGTAAGCCTCCAGCTTTGACTGGGACCATTAAATGTCCAGAAGGACACTTGTCTCTAATCACCTCTTCTACTAATTCAGTTTTGTTCTTTTGACATTGGTCATCTGCAGTCAATGGGGTAAGAACAACAAATGCATCCCATGGCACGCGTCACGCTGGGTGCTTTCTTCTTAAGCATTTTGCTGTTGTTTTGATTGAGGTCTTGTGTGGCTGAGGATATACAAGATATTCTTCATAATTGTTTTTGTTCTGCTGCTAACTCGAGTGTTTGCTCCCAGCTAAAAATGCAAAGGATCTGTGTGGATGTTGGTATTCTGCTTCAAAGCCCCCTGAGGAGATTTAATGTAGAACAGATTATAGGATGACTAGCTATTTCCATCAACCATGTTTCCAGACAATTAGCCCTTGATGATCTTGTATTAGAACTTTGGAGAACAGTGGAGCAACCAGAGCACAAATACAGTTTTCACTGAAAAGCAAGCTATTTAGGCCTTGAAATGAGGAATTAACCATTTCTCATCATAAAAAAGTTTATCTTCAGCAGCTCATTCTGCTGCAGTAAGCTCTATGGTTTAAAATTAGGGATATAATGACACCTTAAGTATGATGTGCAGCTGTCTAGCGTTGAGTTTGCTGCACAGAAAGCTGGGGGCTGCTGTGGGACAGGACAGGAATGGGAACTAGGAGCAGAAGGCTTGAGTTGCTGTCAGAAGAGGAAAATCCTTCTCTAGAGAAGTTTCCATTACTTTTCAAACTATGCATGCCTGCTCGTAGGTACCTGTACAGGACAGATCAAGAGGCAGGACTGCACTAAGAGTGATCTTTCTTAGCAGGGACTGGGGCATGATTCAATGAATGGCTTTGTTTGTTCCCAAATAACACGAGTGGGGGCTGCTAGTAAAAGTCATGAGGCATTGTCCCCTCCTGCATCAAGCCCAGGGACTTGCTCTGTGGCTTTGCAGCCCAGGATGACATCTGAGGGGGCTGATTTGGTCTTAGAGGCTCCACTCACAATCTCGTGTTAAAGCCATTTTGTTTATTTTTTGACTGCTCACTTATTGCGGCTGCATATTTTCACTCCATCCATAAGCAAGTAAACTTGGTTGCATCCCAAAGAACACCTGGATTTAGAGCCGGATTTCTGGCTTAGTAACAGCTGTCCAGCTTCTTCAATCCCGTGGGGCACCGTAGGCTTACAGGCTTACAAACATTCCTCCAGATAAATCCTATCCCCCAAAGAAAACTCTACAACTCAGGTTTGTGTCTACAGCTGCAACAGTCAGGTAAACTTGGTCCTCTGATTGTAAAAGTGTTTGGGTTATAGAGGTACAGGACTGTTGCTGCACAGTGCTTCACTGCTAACATGTAGTCGTGGACAGTGTTTTCAAGTAAATAACAATACTTGGTTCTTTCAAGCAAGTAGGTATGATTTAAAGAAGGGAAGTCCACTTTTTTGGACTGGAATTTATTTCACAATAAACTACTGTCGAAAAAGCAATTCCACATGGCGAGATGCTTCTGGATTTTGACTTTCTGCATTGAATTCTAACATTTAAAGTGGCGTACAGTTTACTTAGCTGTAACAAAGTCATAAAAAACTTTCTATAAAGTATATGGTGCTATATCTTAATCTCGGAGCCTGGATTTTTGTCATGATACTTCTCAAAGGATGTGAAAAGTAGGTTGTGTAATCACTTCTTGGTGAGAAATTGTCCCCGTGTATTGGCAGTTTAACCAATGCACTGTATTTTCACCTCCAGTGATGCCAACTTGCAGGTGTGAGTAAAGTTTGTGTTCCTAGACTTAAATAAGGGCTTGGTGTATGTTTGGGTGTGGGAACTGAAATGAGTAATGTAGGATCTCCTGATTGTGTGAACGGAGCACTGTGTGTTCACAGACCTTGATGCACGAAAAAGATTGTGGGTTTTCTAGGGAAAATAAGGAGATGACTTGTCACTGCAGGGTATTTAAATTTCTACCTCACATGTTAAGTCTTTCTTATTAACTCTCTTTAGACCTCTGCTGAAGTGATGGCGGCAACTTGCAGGCATTGCCAAATTCTAAATTGCGCTACTGACTTCTACTTAAGATTTTTTTCAGTAGAAATTGCACGTACTTCTTGCCAGTCCTGCCTGCCCAGAATCCGTAAGGCTGCAATAAACACTCAGTTCTCATTAATACTCGATAGCTCCATCCCTGGAGATTTGGATAACACGATCCTAGTAAGCTGTAAGTTTAAATGCTTTGGGGTCAAAGTCATGGAAGGTTTTTTGTTTGTCTTGTTTTCTCACCGCTATCCTTCATCAGCATCCAGTAGCTGTTGTTGGGAAAGAAAATTAGTATTAAAGTCTGAGATATTTCTCGTCTCTGAATACGAACATCATGCTGAAGAAAAAATAAACATGCTGTCACTGGCTTCTGCACTACAGTATGTTGCCACCAGATAGAGCTCCTGCTGGTCAACCTAATAACACAGAATCGTGTCTCTCAAGAGTTTGCATTTAAAGCTTCTGTTTCAAAAGAGTTCCTAGAGGAAAATTAACTTAGTTTAGTCTTTTAACAGATGGTAAAGGGCTCTTTTTTTGGTGCCCCAGTATATTCGTTGGCAGGAGACTTAAAGATAGTGAATGAATATCATCCTGCTGTAGTTCTTTCCCTGATTTATAACAAGTTTTTTATTCTTCTGGAGAAAAATGTGATCAAGACTTCCTCCTAAACTCTGAAATAGACATAAAGCAATGAAAAGACATGGTCATAAAACCTGATAGCCTGAAGTTGCTGTGTTTTTCAAAGATGAAACTGATCCGATTAACTGTAAATTACTTTTGGCTTTATTAATGTCTGTTCTCGTAACAGATACATCACATAATGTACCTACAGGAGACTTAGAAGTTAGCCACCCATAATCACAACAGCTGATATATATTATACAAGCCTTAAATTTGCAAGGTTAAGGCAGATAACCACTGCTCCCACTTTCAATGGGATTTAGGTGTAAGTTACTGTTTGAAAATGCACCCTGAGAGGAGAGACCTTGTCAGCTTCTCTTCAGGTTTAATTGTGCTGCATTCTGACATGCTGAGCTAGTTTAGTTATTGATGCATATATTCATTACGTGAGTGTAAAACCTGGTCTTTGGACAACTCCTCAGCAGAACCTCCTTTGTTGGAAATGATGCTTTGGCTCTGGGAGTTAACAGACCATATTGCAAACTCCTGTTATTCACCAATTAAATACCTTCTCTCTTTGAACGCAGTTAATAGATTTCCTCCTTCTGAAATTCAAACCTGTTATTGCTTGCGTTCTCTCTAAAATCTATTGCTT